TAGTAGAGAAATATATTACAAGGGACAGTGGTAAAAGAGGTACTGAGAGAAAATATATTACAAGGGACTGATAGAAGAATATATTACAAACCATAGTGGTAAAGAAGGTATTGGTAGAGATATATATTACAAGGGACAGTGGTAAAGGAAGTATTGAGAAAGAAGATATATTAACGGGGACAGCGGTGAAAGAGGGGGATATAGAACAGCAGCTGAGAACTGGAGATCCCCTGCTGCGTTTGGTCCCTGGGAACCCACAAAAGAAGAAGTAGAAGAATGAGAAGAAGAAGGAGGAGGAGAAGGCGGAGAAGAAGAAGAAAAGTCAGCTCTATCAAACATAGATAGGTACCACATGCAATTTATTACACAGTAATTTACATATCACACTGGGTAAGAACTGGTTCTTGCATTGGGACCGCCAGACACCCAAAAAGGGCCTCTAGCAAAATTGATGTAAACATGAAAGGTACTGAATGAAACTACTTTTGCTCCATAATGGTCCTCCTGCCATTCCTTTAGCTGAAACTTTGCCAGCTGGTCCTTGAATATGTCATTATCCAAAAGTTCCTGGCAGTTCTACCTAGGAGCTTGCTCAGGACCTGCAATGACAAACGGGTGATCATCTGCTCCTCGTAGTGGGGTCAACTTTTGGGCGTGTCTGCCGGGCATAATGCAGCGGGTAATTTGTCTGGTATTGACCACTCGGAATTCTCTGAGATGTGTCAAAGTACAGTAACTTTGTTTCAAGTGGTACCAATAATGTTTGATCTAGCCAATGTTTTTAGGCCATCTTTGGGTGTCTAGCGGGCCTAATGCAGCAGATATTATGTCTATCAGTGTAATATGTAAATTACCAAGAAATAAATTGTATGCGGTACCTATTTATATTGGATAGAGCTGTTTTTGCCCCTTTTGGGAGTTCCCAGGAGCCAAACGCAACAGGGGGTCCCTAGTAGACGTCGAGTTCCTCATATTACCTGTCATTCTCTACGCGATCCTGCACACCACAACTGTTACTTGTTTACTTGACTAAACTGCTCTAAGCTACCGGTCTTATAGTGGTAAAGGAGGCATTGGGAGAAGAAAAATATTAGAAAGGGTCAGTGGTGAAGGAGACATTGCAAACACTGAGGAAATATATTAGAAGGGACAGTGGTAAAAAAGAAGATTAGAGGAAAATATCTACAGTTATAAGGGCCAGTGGTAAAGGAGGAAGTGTGAGAGGAATATTTTCTATTATAAGGGGCAGCGGTAATGGAGGTATTGAGAGAAAAAACAATTTCGAATCATAAGAGACAACAGCGGTACAGGAGATGAGAGGGAAATTATTTCGTACTGGGGAAAAAGTGTGGAAAAATCTTTTGCTATAAAAGGGCAGTGATAAATCATTTTGTATTACAAATCGTACAGAAGGAAATGAAAGAAAAATAAAAACTTCCATCACAATTATCATACAGTATTAGCCCACTTCCGAACCCATCATCACCAAAGGACTCCAACAAGGCTAAGAAAAAAAATTCCCGTCTCACCGCGAAGGATCCATAAGGACGACTTCGGGATCGAGATTGTAGGTCCGGTTGAGGAAGTCCTTCTCCGTGGCCCAGGATGCCGTGAGGTGAGCCCCGATGGCGCCCCCGTGGTAGGATCGGTTGATGTCTGGAATGATGCACTCTCGACCTCGCCTCAGGATGTCTGTGTCCATGAAGTGGTCCCAGTCGTGCGTCTGCGAGGGGAGAGGAACCGGGGAAGAGTGAAAGGTGCGATAGGAAGAGGAGGGGAGAGGAAGAAAAGTAGAGAGAGGAGGAAGAGGGAGAGAGAGAAAAGACGGGAGAAGAGTAGACAGCGAAGGTGGAAGGAAGAAAGAGGAGGAAGAAAAGTTGAGAGCGAAAGAGGAGGAAGAGGAAGATTAGAGAGTGGAATGCGAAGAGAGGGGAAAGAGAAGACAGCGGGAGAAAGGGGAGGAAGAAAGGTGGAGAGCGAAAGAGGAGGAAGAGGAAGAGTGGAAAGTGGAATGCGAAAGTGGGAAGAGCGGGAGAGAAGTGAGAAAAGAAGAAAGGTGGAGAGCGAAGGAAGAGAAAGAGTAGAAAGTGGAATGCGAAGATGGGGAGAGAGAAGGAACGGAGGAATTGTAGACAGCGGAGGTGGAGGAAAGGAAGAGGAGGAAGAGGGAGGAAGAAAAGTTGAGAGCGAAAGAGGAGGAAGAGGAAGAGTAGAAAGTAGAATGCGAAGAGAGGGAAAGAGAAGACAGCGGGAGAAAGAAAGAAGAGGTGGAAGAAAGGAAGAGGAGGAAGAGGGAAGAAGAAAGGTGGAGAGCAAAAGAGGAGAAAGAGGAAGAGTAGAAAGTGGAATGCGAAGAGGGGGAAAGAGAAGACAGCGGAAGTGGAAGAAAGGAAGAGGGGGGAAGAGAAGACAGGGAGAAAGAAAGGAAGAGGAGAAGAGAGAAGAAGATGGGAGAAAGAAAATGAGAGGAGGAAAGAGTAGAAAGTAGAATACGAAGAGGGGGGAGAGAGAAGGGACGGAGAGTAGGCAGTGGATGTGGAAGAAAGGAAGAGGAAGAGGAGAAGGAGGAGGAGGAAGAGGGAGAAAGAGAGAGGAAAAAAATAGTTGAAAGCGATGGAGAAGGAGTAGAAAGTGGAGGAGAAAGAGGAGGAAAGAGAAGAGAGAAGAAGAAAGAAGACTAGATTAACATTCAGCAATATCAAGTCTTTGATATTAACCTTCATCACTTATCAATCTCTTCACATCTCTTCACATCAACCCCTCTTCACATCTCTTCACATCAACCCCTAACCCCGCGACCGCCAGAACCCATTCACTCACCACATTACTCGGCAGCCACTTCGGCAGGATGAACTCCAGGCCCTTCTTGTCCATCATCCACCCATAGGCGGGATAGGAGTGGGCGCGGTAGAGCTGGGTCGCGTCGTGGGCGGTGTGGGCGTAGGAGAGGTGGTTGAAGGCGGAGACACAGTACACGGTCGGGTCGTTCTCGAGAATCCAGCTGGTCTGCTGCATGTAGCTGTGGTAGGGAGAGAGGTCTGTGTACTGCGAGAGAGTGACGGTTTGTTCCAGTACGATTCAAAGATTCAAAGATTCAAATATTCAAAATACAATTTATAAAAAAATATTCAAAATACAATTTATAAAGATTCAAATATATGGTCGGTTTGTTCAAATTGTGCGAAGTCTGAGTCAATGAGAGTTCAGTATACGGATATGCATGTATACGGAAATAAATGCATGTCTATCAGTCTAGACTTACATATATACGTAAATAAATGCACATCTATCAACCTAGACATGCGTATCTACCTGATAGATGGAGAAAAGTATATCTACCAGATAGTTGAACAGATATGCATTTATTTCTGTGCACATGCATGTCGGTAAATGTGAATATTCATTGGGTCGGACCTGACGAATTCTAATAAATTGGCCAATAATAATATTCAGTCCTCTAGGCCTACAATCAATGGCTCTTATTACTAGTATCTCGCGTGATTTTGGATCTACGTTATAAAACATATGATAAAAAGAGACCCATTAGAATCTAAAAAGAATCAAAATCAAAAGATCCATTAGAATCTAAAAATTCAAAACCAAAAGATCCACTAGAATCTAAAAATTAAAAAAATCAAAAGACCCATTAGAATCTAAAAAATCAAAAAGCAAGACCCATTAGAATCTAAAAAATAAAAAATAAAAAGCCCCATTAGAATCTAAAAAATCAAAATCTAAATACCCCTTAGAATCTAAAAAAGCAAAAATCAAAATCCCTATTAGACTCTAAAAAATTAAAAATAAAAATACCCATTAGAATCTAATATATATATATATCAAAATACCCATTACAATCAAAAAAATAAAAATCAAAAGCCTAAATAGACTCTAAAAAAAACTCAAAATCAAAAACCCCATTACAATCTAAAAAACCAAAATTCAAAATTCAGACTCACGCGTAAAAATCAGGAGAGAGAATTAAGTCGTCCTCCAACACAATAAACTTATCTGCTTTCGGATACTTCCTCATGATATTGAAGAGACCGAATCGGACATTCCTGGAGATTTTGGCGGGAATCACGCCTTCGGGTCTGGGAAAGAGAGAGACCGTTAAAAGGCGGCTATTTAGGTTAGCGCGTTTCGAAATGTCTAACACAGAAAATGGGAATAACTGACTTGAATATAACTATTTTATTTATTATTTTTATTTATTATTTATTTTATTTATTATTTTTTTTTTTTTTTGCATAACTGTTGGGATGATTTTTCGTCTAATTATGTACCTCTTTTTATTATATTTGTCATATAATTCATATGGTACCTTATTTATCATTTACATTTTTCTTCAGACTTTATTTATTCATCCTCGGTTACGAAAATCATAAAGCTGAATCCACAGCCTCTATTTTCATCATGAAGAAAAAGAAGAAAAAAAACTAAAAATCGAGACAAGAAACGCTAATAAAAAACACACAAAACTAAAATCGAGACAAGAAACAAACAAACAAAACAAAAATCGAGAAATAAACGCTAAAAATACATATAAAAGAGTCTAGTCCACGTATCAACCCCCCCCCCCCCCCCCCCAACAACAGCTGATTCCCGGTCCCACAACAGGTGTAACGGGTCTGTGGGAGGCGCACCTGTGGACCAGAAGGCTGAGGCGTAGAATGTGCGCCAACTTCGCAACCTCTTTGTTGTGTCCATCTGTGACGAGCAGTATGAGGTCGCGACGGACGCCAGGTTGCCTCCCCAGGGACTGCAGCAATCTGGAAGCGCATTCGAGTGGGGTATTAGGTGGTTTCATTATGCCTGCCTCTGTCTCTCGTTGTCTCTGGCTCTGTCTCTGGCTCTATGTCTCTGTCTGTCTCTCTGTCTCTGGCTCTTTGTCTCTCTCTCTCTCTCTCTCTCTCTCTCTCTCTCTCTCTCTCTCTCTCTCTCTCAAAAACACAAACACACACATACACACAGATATATGTATACATATATACATATATATATATATATATATATATATTATATATATATATATATATAATATATATATATATATATAGACACACACACACACACACAAATCTATCTATCTATCTATCTATCTATCTATATATATATATATATACATACACATATATGTATGTATGTATATATAAAAGCAAAGGCGTTTCAACTTCAGGGTATATCTGTACTGATAATTATATTGTATACATACACAGATGTGTGAATGTTATGATGTATGTGAAAGATAAAGATACAGTGTGTGTGTGTGTGTGTGTGTGTGTGTGTGTGTGTGTGTGTGTGTGTGTGTGTGTGTGTGTGTGTGTGTGTGTGTGTGTGTGTGTGTGTGTGTGTGTGTGTGTGTGTGTGTGTGTGTGTGTGTGTGTGTGTGTGTGTGAGAGAGAGAGAGAGAGAGAGAGAGAGAGAGAGAGAGAGAGAGAGAGAGAGAGAGAGAGAAGAGAGAGAGAGAGAGAGAGAGAGAGAGAGAGAGAGAGAGAGAGAGAGAGAGAGAGAGAGAGAGAGAGAAAAGAAACAGACAAAGAGAGAGAGAAGTAAATACAGACAGACAGACAGAAAGACAAAAACACTATCTATGGATAGACCCAACAGATAAAGCATATATTCATACATATTAACGAACATTCAATCTCCCATCCATCTATGCAAGCAACCAAACTTATCCCCAACCAGCATATATTAGGCCGTCAACTAGATCTGAACCGAAAGCACCATCATTAGCCAATTCATAATCTATTTCCTAGGCTAACTACCAATTAACCAGCTGGATGGAGATCACGTGAATCCTCATGTGAATACGTTCATATTTACAGCTTTTTTTTCCCCCGCCTGAGCACAGGTAGTTGGTCCTCACGTGCACAGGGAGTGGGTTACCTGAACAGATAGTGTATTCTTCCGCCGGTGATAACGAGGATTGGTATATCTTCGCGCCACGTGGTCTGTTTGGGGAGAAAACAAAATGGCGCATGAGGGTTAAATTTTTAAATATTTTTTTTCGGTTGGAATTTGAATGGTGTGGGGGTGTTTTTTTTTGGGTGATTGGTATGTTTTAATTAATTGGGAAAAGGAATGTGTGTGGATTTGTATATATTTTAGTTTTTTTCATGATTCAGGGAATTTGTGGGGACTTATATATACTTGAATCTATTTTTTTTAAATTTAAATCATGGTGTTCACCTACATACAAACACACACAGACGCTCGTCAGAACCACATACCAACTCTTCCTGCTTCCATTCAATAACCACATGATTTATCTCACCCAAAGAGACAACCCCCCCCCGCACACACACACTCACAAACAGACCCCGCCCACGTAGAAAAAAGACAAATACTCACCCCCACCCTCCAACTCACAACGCCTCCCCCCCCACGTACGCATCCATCCCCACAGACATATAATCACCCCAACGTCCACTCATACACCCCCCCCCCCATCACAGACACATTCAACACCCCTAACCCGCTTCCTGTCCACAGACGCACACACTCGCCCCCCCCTCCCCCCCCCCACAACCGCCTCCTCCTCCGCCCACAACCCCCTCCATCACAGCCAGATTTCTGTGTACTAGAGAGTATTAATTGTCAATAATTAGTGTGCACCAGTGGATGTGCAATGAGTGGAGTAGCAACCCGCATACGTCTGAATCGACAATATACATATCTATTAATAAAATGTACATGTATATCATATAATAAATACATCTATATAATATTCATATACATTTTTGTGCGGCGACTTAATATATACATATCTATTAATAATATGTACATGTATATCATATAATACATCTATATAATATTCATATACATTTTTGTGCGGCGACTTAATATATATATATATATATATAATATATATATATATTATATATATATTATATATATTATATATATATATATATTATATTAATAATATGTACATGTATATCATATAATACATACATCTAGATAATAATCATATACATTTTTGTGTGGCGACATATATATACATACAATATTAATAATATGTACATGTATATCATCTAATACATACATCTATATAATGTTTATTTACATTTTTGGCACACATCCCCCCCACCCACACCACCCTCCCTTCCTCCTCCCACCTCCAACCTCTCCCGCACGCACCGGCTTGGGCACCACGTCCTCCTCGTTGACCACGAAGGGCTTCTCGCAGCTGCACAGATCGCCGAAGCCGTCGTGGGAGGCGCAGAAGGCCCGACGGTGCTGCCACTCCTGCGTCGGCGGCCATGAGGAGCAGATCTCTGGTGGGGGGGGGGGGGGAGAAAAAGAAGGTGGGTGTCGTGACAGTGGATTATTGGTCAAAACCCCTATTTACTCTCTCTCTCTCCCGCAGGCATGCAAAGAGTATGGAAAGTGAGAGGAGAGAGAGAGAGAGAGAGAGAGAGAGAGAGAGAGAGAGAGGAGAGAGAGAGAGAGAGAGAGAGAGAGAGAGAGAGAGAGAGAGAGAGAGAGAGAGAGAAAGAGAAAGAGAAAGACAGAGAAAGAGAAAGAGAAAGACAGAGACAGAGAGACAGAGACAGAGACAGAGACAGAGACAGAGACAGAGACAGAGACAGACAGACAGAAGAGAGACAGAGACAGAGAAAGGGAGATAGAGAGAAACAGAGGGAGTGCGGGGGATGCATCTGCACTACAAGCCACAGATGTGCTATCATATAAATCTAATTAGTATGATGACGTCACCGACATACACATTGGCATTTGTCATCTTGAAAAAAATCAATTATTTGTGGCTCAAACTCTTGATGGCTAGAAATATCCACATCCATATGTATTGAAAATAAACATCAGCATCCACATATATTGAAAATAAACATCTGCATCCACATATATTGAAAATAAATATCACATCCACATTTATTGAAAATAAGCAACAGCATCCACATATATTGAAAGTAAATAACCGCATCCACATATATTGAAAATAAATATCTGGATCCACATTTATTGAAAATAAATATCCACATCTGCAAATAATTAAAATAAATATCTGGATCTGCAAACACTGAAAAGTCGACATCCGATCCACCTCTAATTAAGATGATCGTTATTCATAGCTTTATTATTACCATTATTAGTAGTAGTATCATTACCATCCTTACTATTTTCATATCATCATTATTATTAGCACAGTTGCTATTCACAGCATTATCACCATTGTTAATAATGATAATGAATATCATCATTATTATCATCTTTTTATATCTATCATCATTATCTTTTTTATATCTGATTATCATATTTTATATCTAGCATTATTATCTTATCATATTTTATATCCACCTTTAATATCTTATCATATTTACTATTATTACCATTGATCTTATCATCGTTAGTATCTTATCATCTTCATCATCATGATTCTTAACATTATCCTCATTATCCCTATTACAAAAACAGACAAATTATAAAGGTGAGGAAATGGCTCCCTTGTCCAACCTTCACAGCTCGCTTCTGCGTCTCCGATCGCCGTCTCCCTCTCGTCTTTATTTCTCGCTTCTCCTTTCTTCTCCTTGCTGCTTCTTTCCCGCCGCTGTGTCAGATATTCGGATACGGTCACTGGGGCACCGGAGGTCATCTTCTCTAACCTCTCCCCGCGGGCCAAGTCATCCTCGACTGCCTTTTCTTCCGTGGGTGAGTCGCTCGTACCCTCGTCCTCCATTTCTCCATGACCGGTCGTTCCTCCTTCGCCTTCTTCCTTGTCACGCGGGGGATCCCAAGGGACGTCCACCTCCATGAGCAAGGGCGACGCTGCCTTGTCGAAGGTGCGGGTGTTGGGCGCGAAACCACTCCCGAGAGTCGCGCCGCCCTTGGAGAAGACCCAAGCCCAGGCGTCCCTGTAGGAGTAGTACCTGACCCACTCAGAGCCGAGGGCTTCGAGGTGGTCCCGCGCGGAGGACAGCTGGAGGGACCCGTCGTGCTGTGGGAACGTGAGTCGTCAGAATCGAAGTGGATTTTTGTCTGTGGATTCAGGCGGGGTGAAGACACTCTTTGTTGTTGTTGTTTTTTAGTTTATTATACATGCTAGCATACATTCACGAAGCATTACAAACTGGCATATAATTGGAAACATTACAAGTTGATATATGTTTGTAAACATCGCAAATTGGCATAAATTTGGAGATATTACAAGTTGATATATGTTTGGAAATATAAAAAAAATGGGATATGTTTGGAAACATTGCAAATTGGCATATATTTGGAGATATTACAAGTTGATATATGTTTGGAAATATAAAAAAAATTGGGATATGTTTGGAAACATTAAATAAAGTAGGTATATTACGTATTTTCAGGTATGCGAAAAAGCAATACACAAATAATCGATGAATACCGCTAATGCAATAAATATCGACAAACAAACAAAAAACGAGTAAGCGAATCAATACACGATTAATGATAAACTGACGTTGCAACGCATCTCGTGACGTCACGGCATCTACAGACAAGGACGACGGTACTTACGACAGAGACTAACGACGACGGTACTTACGACAGAGACTAACGACGACGGTACGACAGAGACTAACGACGACGGTACTTACGACAGATACAACGACGACGGTACTTACGACAGAGACTAACGACGACGGTACTTACGACAGAGACTAACGACGACGGTACTTACGACAGAGGCAACGACGACGGTACTTACGACAGAGGCAACGACGACCACCCTGTTGTCCTGGATGTTTCCCAGGGTCCACGTGAGGTCCCTGTAGGCGCCGGGTTCGCCTGTGGGGAACACTTTGTCCAGGGTAACCTCGGCCGTGCAAGGATTCAGAACCAACAGGTGCAGACCCGCCCCGACCAGCCACATCTGCTCCGGCAATCCTCTCGCAGCGGTCCTGTTCGAGACCTTACGAGAGAGAAGATGATTAGATTCAGAAGGAAAAATGAGGACCTGTCAGCTCGACGGTACCTTCTAAGGGACAAAAAAGGGCAAATGGGAAAAGAAGCA